CAGGCTTAGCCAAGCCATTTATTTTGCACATAGATGAAAAGAAGGAGTGGCAGTCAGACTCCTAGGGCAGCTAAGGGGCCCACCCTCCAGTCGGCAGCACACCTGTCCAAACAGCTAGATAACACCGCTCTGGGATGGCCCCCGCCTTAGGGCAGTCCTCACCCTAGAGAGCCTAAAGATGACCTTTCATAGCCCAGTCACTGCCCATTCCTCTCATAATTTAAAGGACATGCTATCTCAGTGACACAGAATTTAATGTCACCTCGCATTCAGCAGCTACATACCCTTTTCCTCCAAACTCAGTAGCATCTACCTCTCCCCTTAATGCAGGGACTTTACTTTCTTTACCATTTAATGGAGGAAAAGAAGAGACACACTGCTGTTTAGAAATTTTAGGCTCTTGTTTACCCCCTTTCCCCACATCAAGGCCAGCCCTCTTCCAAGGGCATATGCTATATGCTTCATTGATGGGCAGTGCCTACAGCAAGCAGGGGCCTCTTAAGCTGGTTATGCAACTGTAACCCTGGAGCCTACAGAGGTTCCTGAGGCCGGTCCCCTCCTGCGGTACAACCTCTCAAAAAGCAGAATGAATCACCTTAGTCAGAGCTCTAATCCTAGCAAAGGGCCAGAGGGCAAACATCCACACTGACTCTCTATGCCTTCCATGTCCTACATTCACGTGCTTCCATCTGGCTGAGAGGGGCTCTCTCGACCCAGGGGACAGGCATTCTTGCACCCCACCTGTTTACTAGGAATAGACAGAATCTGAATACCTTCATGTCACTTATAATATAATGGCTACTTGACAATCTTTAACACCTCCAACCCAAGACATGCTGTACTCAACCAAACATATCAAGCAGGCCACGTATAATATCTTTCACTATAACCTTACGAAGGCTACCTGTAATCTACCTATTCTTGATGTGTCTAACCCCTGCGGTTGGAGTTGATATGTGCAAGCTCAGATGGACTTGATGCAATACCAAGAAATCATACCAGGGAAATTAGTCGCTATCCAGGACACTGTTGTGCCGATGGCTCTAGCCCTCTCCTCCCTCTGTCATGGTTTAATCATTCGAGCCTTACTGTGGGTTGATCAAACACTTGCTAGGCCCAAATATGACTGGACTACTTTGCTCACTAGCAGGAATGATATTTTTAGGTGCCCTAGATATTTCGGCCCCCAGGAGAAGGATAGCTATTCAATGCCTAAACCCAGAGAAACAGGGTGGTTTATGGGCAGTGGGACATGTCACCCCAGCCAATACCTTAATCTACTCCTTCAACCCTAATTCAACCTCATCAAGCCCTGAGTCCAGAAGCTACAATAGGGCAAAAAGGGGAGTCAGACTCCTCATAGCAGGAGTCACAGCTGCAATCACCACTGCAGGCCTCATGGGAGGAAATACTTGTGATACCACAACAGCAAAAAACATAACTGCCACCATGACAAATATAGGTAGAGATACAGGTGAAAATTTCAAACTTCTTTCAAAATCTTTTGACTCTCTTGCCTGCATGGTAATAGATAACCACATTGCACTAGATTATGTACTAGCTAAAGAAGGAGGGGTATGAATGATAGCAAATACATTTTGTGGTTTCTATGTTAACTCAACTGGCCAGGTCGAGGAGAGGACACAACAAATTTTAGATAATGCCCAGTGACTAAAATAATTCAGTCAGGATCATCTAGCCCAATCTATCTGGACAAGTATAGAAGCAGCCTTGCCTAAACTAACCTGGCTACTCCCATTTATAGAGGCCCTAGAATTAGCCTTACTATTGCTTTTCAGACCCTGCCTCTTATACCTGATTACTAGGTTTGTAAAAAATCAACTGCAAATTTTAATCAACCAGACATTGGACAATTGTTCTAGCACAGTAAAAGGACCTTATACCCCATTCCCCAAGAAGTTACCTAACAAATTCTTGTTAGGAGTCCATGACAACCCCACACCTGCATGAAGTAGACGAAGAGAAACTTCGCCCCGTTTTCCTTTCTATCGTCATTATAAGATGGGAATGAAAGGGTTAGTAACTTTTTAAAGGGTAAAGGTAAAGCTTACAAAAGGTGAGAACTGTGAAAAATTCATTGCTTGCATGACCTTTGCTCAGCCTTCTGTTGACTACGGATTATCGGATTATGCACAAAACAATGAATCACCCAGTAGAGGCAGGATGTGATACCAGACCAGTCCAACTGCAAAGTGGACAATGGGCCAGGCAGAGTACGTCAGCAGGAACTGCCAGAAGCTACAAGTAAAGTATATAACCTACACCCCAACTGCTGACTCCCTTTTTTGGGAGCTCAGCCCGCCTGCACCCAGGCCCATGCAATAAAGTCATTTTGCTCTGCATTGACCTTGCGATGTGGATGTGAACTCCTACCAGCTCAGACCTTTCATAAACAATGTGATCTCAAGTAATATTTGGTGAATAATATATCCTAAATTCAGATAAGAAATCTTTGGGTTTGAATTTTCTTTGATGAATCTTGTTTTCTATAAGCTGCCACTAGTTACTGTTATTTAATCGGTCTCTACTTATTTAGTCATCATAAAATATTTATTGAGTACTTTTTATAAGCAAAATATAGTGGTAGAACCAATGGGAGACAAAATGCACATCCTTTGGCTTCAAAATACACAATCTTGGTGGATACTGAGTCATCCAGTGAAAGCAGAAAGTATAGCATTGTGCAAAGAACACATATTTTTGGCTCAAAGAGACCTGAATTTCCATCTTAGTTCTGCAACTTCTAAACTACTATCTACAACATTGTTATCGGTGAGGAGCTCTGTGTGTCCCCACCTGTTGCCAGTGGAAGTGGGCTTCTCATGATGTCACAAGCAAAGGCATTTTCTGAGACTCACGGGGGAGAATGGGTGGCATTTATTTGCATGAATTAAACCCCTGAACTTACAAAGTCCCTTCTCCCTCCGTTCTGCCATGTAAGAAGTGCAATGTGTCCTTAGCAGAACTAGGATTAAAGCTGTTGCTCACATTTGCTGTTCCATATTTGCACAATCCAATCTATCATTAGTTTAGCTTAGCTTGTGTTCCCAGCTGTAGTTCATCAGTCCATTGGGTGTGGGGTCCACATGGCCAGGGGCCATGCAGCTTCTAGGAACAAGGGCAAATGCAAGGATGTAGGAACAAAACCAGAGGAACCAATGAATTCCTTTGTCTGATTATTTTAACCTTCTAAATGTCCACACACTTGCAGTAGCTTCACCCTCTCTAGACAATTATTTCTGTTCCCAGGTTTGATTGACAGGCAAGTATCTTCCCTGCGTCATTCCAACATACTGTACATGCACTCATCTCCCCTTTGTTGGGCCCCCCTTCCCAGTGATCTGCTGGGCTTGGACCAGTGGTTCTCTGGAGTGTATAGTTGCAACTTCCTGGTGAAGCTGCCCCGATAGCCATGCAATAATGTCTGCCTTTCCCTTCATCCTCTTCCTATTATTAATATTAGCTAGCTAGTTACAATGGTGACAGTATTATTTAAGTACTTCACTTTTCCCGGATTAAAAAAAATTCTAATAATATTATAACTTAGAGTGTGGACAAAAGGAGAAAATATATATTTTTAAAGTCCTAACATTGTTTGGCAAACAATGATCACTCAATGAACAGTTTTTTTTTTTTTTTTCTCCAAGTCAAATAAAAGAGATTTTCTAAAATAGTAAATTTAGGTAATTTAAAAGATTAGCTGGATATTAAAACAAATTAGGAAGGCATGTGTGAAGCATTTACCTGTGTGTTCATTCAAAAAAACATTGATTGGGTTTCTACTTTATACAAGATACTATGGTGGTTGCTATGGAGAAGTCAGAATTAATGGGATGTGGCATTTACTTCTAAGTGGTTTTATAGTAAAATGCATAAGTTGTATCATATTTAGAAATAACTATGGTAAATATTATATATGTGCACTATAGTATGCTTTGTCGTTCCAGAGGTGTGAGAGGACATTTTTGCCCTGAAGACCATGCAAGACTGTACAGGTCTGGTGCAAGCTAAGCTTAAAAAGCAGGTAGAATTTTGACAGGTCAAGTTAGAAGTTGTATATTCCAATTAGGAAAAAATATAGAAAAGCATATCACACATTCAGAGCATAATGAGAAATTGAGTTTTAGTAGAACATAGGAAACTTCATGACACAAATCCAGAATGAAATTTGGGGTTAGTTTATTGAGGGTAAGATGTTCAGGAAATTTGCATTGAATTTAGTAGGTAAAAGGGAACCACCAAAGATAAATGAGCAGAGAAGTTGACACTATTGTAATGAGTCTCGTTATTAATAGCAGGAATGAGACAAAGGGAAGGCCAAATATGGTAGACATGTTGTTTGAGCAACTTTGCCAGGAAGCTGCACTTCAACACTCCCCAGATAGACACCAGTCTTGTCCCCACAGATCTCTAGGGGAAGGGACTGGACAAAGGGAGGATAGACATAGACACATGCCCAGTAAAGTCTGGGTCACATAGGAAAGGTACTTGTCTGTCAATCACACCTGGGAACACAGATCATTGGCCAGGATAGATGTGGCCACTGCAAGTGCAGAAAGATTTGGAATATTTAATCTCCTAAATAAAGGACTTTGCTCTCTTGGCTCCTGGTTCTCTAGGTTGCACTTTTGTTTTGGGGAACCTAGGGATTTTTGTTCCAGGGGGCGTGCTCTCAGGCTCCCGTACTCGCTCACATGGCCCACAGCCACGTGGACCCCACACAGTGGACTAATGGACTGCAATTAGCTTAATGCTGTACTGGACCCAAATCCAACATGGAACGGAAATTCTGGACCCTGGCTTTGCTTCTAGCTCTGCTGAAAGCCCAGCTGCAATTCTTCCAGAACTGGATTATGGGAAATGAGATTTTGGAAACCCAGGGATGTAATTCCATGCAAATAAAAATAACTCATCCTCTTATGTGAGTCAGCAAGTATCTGCCATGACTGAGGGAATTTGCTGTTCTCCTCTCTTGCAACATTGCCACTTCTCGACTCACGCCACAAGAAACCTGGACAACCCACTAAGCTTCGTTTGTCTGGTGTGTACATAATAGGTATGACATAAAGGCATCAAGAAATTTTGTATATTGGTGAAAACAACATGATTGTATCTCTCTTAATAGTCTTCCTATGTAAATGTTGTCTTCAAACTAAGGAATTAATATACATTAATACTGTACATGTAGTAAGAAACTTTCAATGATTCTTAATGATCCTCCCCTCCTGGCATTTGTGCCTTTGTGTAACAACCCACCTTGAGTATGGGCTGGAACTAATGCCTTGTTTTTAAAAGCATATGGCTAAAATGATGGGATATCACATTCATGATTGTGCTACAAAAGATTTGTGACACATCTTACAGGGCAGTTTCCATTGCTTTCTTGGACTTATTATTATTATTATTATTATTATTATTTTTTTTTTTTTTATGAAGCAAGCTGCCATGGTGGAAGGATCTGTGTGGCAAGGAACTAGGGCAACTTCTGGCTAAAAGTCAGTAAAGACCCTCAACCCAACAGCCTGTGGGGGGACGACTTCTGCCAAAACCACGTGAGTAAGCTTTGAAATGGATCATTCTCCAGTTGAACCTTGAGATGAGACTGTGGCCACAGTCAACATCTTGATTGTAGCCATGTGAGAGACCCTAAGACAGAGGACACATGTAAACCATCCCTAGATTCCTGACTCTCAGAAACTGTGAGATAAAAAATGTGTCTGTTTTAAACTGCTAATTTGGGGGCAACTTGTTACACAGTGATAAACTAATACAATGTATTTTTAATTAATATTCTGAAATTCTAAAAAGATAGCTCTGTTTCTATAATATTATTTAAGAATATAGGACAAATTGGTAGGTTTGATTTTCTTTGGACCTCAGATCCTTTATTACATTTTTATTGTTTCTTCCAGAAGTGTCGTCATTTATTTTCTCCAAACCTTTAATTCCTCCTTTCTTTAGACATATACATGCCAAAAATATTTGTTTGTTTGTTTGTTTTTTTCAAATTCAGGAAACAGTTCTGTCATTTGACAGTAATTAGAATATTCTTTCTTAAATAAAGAGCTTTACATTTAAGTATAATTTTACATTTGAGTATGGGTATAGAGCTGAGTGAGAAATATACTATAAACATCACAGAAAATATTGGTAAAATAAACATCCAACAAGCAAACCAAGGAGGTATTGGTGTGTGTGTGTGTGGATGTTTTGTTTGTTTGTGTATTTTCCCCGAGGATCTATATCTAAAGAAAGAAAAAGTTGGAGTGAAGGAAGGGAATCTGAATCATCTATAATGAGTCTGAGACAAATCAGTTGTTTCATTTTCAAAGAAGAAAATAATTGAAAAGTAAGAATCTATTTTTAAACTCTACACTGCCTCTAACTTTCTAGGACATGGTATTGTATTCTGTATAGACCAACTATTTTTTTAAAGCCATGTAGAAAATGGTAACCTTTCTCTAGAACTTGACTGTAGCGTAATGCAACTCCATGATTTCTACCCCCTCTAAATAAAGACATCTGTGGCACTATTGAGTCCTTTCCAGTATCAACCTTACAGTCTTTACGATGTTGGCGTTTCTTCCAGCTACTTGGAAAATGTTCTGTACCAGAGAGATTGTATTCCCTTAGGAAGGACCGTTTCTGACTATTTTCTTTAAATTGAAAAGATTTTGGTCTACAGATTCTTTAATCCACATAAACAAGAACCTTGGTATCTTGAAAGCAAGAAGAGTGAATGTTTAGTGGCTACATTGTTTTTCCTTCCTCAGACTAAAATCTCAAGGTTTCTTTCATGAGGAACAGATTGTTCTGGCAACAAAATCTTAGAAATCTCATGTGCCTGATTTATTTTTAATTTTCCCTTTATACATTCCAATGTTAAAACGAAAGAGGGATTTCAAATGAGTAATTTGCCACATTGTACACAGTATAGTATAGTTTTGTGTGTTTTTTGTTTTGTTTTTGTTTTTGTTTTTGAGGAAAGTCTTTCTTTTAAATTTTTCATACAAAATATTAAAAAAAACTACAAATTTGTATATCTGTAAAGATGTACATAAAACAGTAGAATAAGAATTGGGAAATGTAGCTACATCTTTTTCTCATGCTAGTACATTGGTACTATGATCTGTTTTATAACCAACAAGAATCTGTTTACTCAAAGAGAACACATATATAATATTACTTAGAAAGAAGACCTCTTTGTGAAAGGATGAACATATAAATCTCATTTCTAGAGAAAAGTATTCATGTTTAATCAATGACACAATCATGGAAGGCATAGTTCTTGACAAACAAGTATATATGGTAATAGACATATATTTGTTGTTCAACTTTAATAAATATTCTTCAGCACTCATTTGGTACCTAATGAACAAATAATCAGAGCCTCAAAGGACATAAATTTATATTTAGTTGCATTAGTAAATTCAGTACTTTAATATTTTGCTCTTACTAACCTCCAACTTAGGAGTTTTACTACATTTATTTCTCTTGCCAAGTGAAATGTCAGGAAGCTAAGAGTTATTAGAGCATTCTAATTGAAATTTGAAAACTAATTAGAATGTGTGTTCTTATTTAGGAGCTGCTGAACTAAAGTCTGAATCAAAAATAAATCACCATATTTATACAGTAACTGTCATATATTCTTAAAATTAAATCCAAACGTGAGACTTGATTTACAACATAACCAAAAATATATAGCAAGGCACTTTAAACTTCTTCAAAAACATTGTGAAGAGTGAAGATATTTTTGAAACTAAATAGAAATAAAATCTGGTTTTCCTGGGACAACCTAACAAGTAAAATAGCAAGTAGTAGAATTTTAACAACATTATATGGAAAATATGGCAACACTGGCCAATATCAGCAATTTCATTCACAGGAATTTCATGGGATTAAACATCTGAAAAGAAAAACTTGGCAAGCAATATACTCAAACTATTTCCAGAAATCAACTGACAAAACACACACACACACACAAACACAAGAAAATTGTGGTATCAGTGGGATATCCCCAAACCTCATGCAAGGATATATGAGCTAAAAGACAACATTTGAGATTCTGTGACTGTTTGAGTATATGTTTAAACTATATACAGTCATGCATTGCATAATGATCTCTTGGTCAATGGAGGACCGCATATAAGATGGTGGTCCTATAAGATTATAACGGAGCTAAAAAAATTCTTGTCTAGTGGCATTGTAAATATTGTTAGGTCCAGGAACAACACATTACTCACATGTCTATGGTGATGCTGGTGTAAATAAACCTACCATGCTGCCAGTCTTACAAAAGGACTGTACTTATATGCACAGTACATAATATTTGATAATGATAATAAGTAACTACATTATTGGTTTATGTATTTACTGTACTATACTTTTTATTGTTCTTTTACAGTATACTTTTATATTTCCTATAAAACAGTATGCTGTGCTATGCCAGCAGCAGCCTCATACATCCTGTTTACTGAGTCTTTTGATTGCATCATTTTCTCTTGTGCTGGATTTAATTCCATGTTGCTTATTTATCATGGGGCTAAGTGTACAAAATTCACTGTTGTTGTCATTAAAAAACCTCACTGAGGGACTGACCTGGAAACAAAATTAAAAGTGATTAAGGACTGTGAAGGTGGGAAACCAATGATAGCTACTGCTTGCCAGTCAGGCATGTCCCAGTCCACCGCAGCTATGATCCTGAATAACAAGAGCAAAGTGATGGAGGCTGTTAAACAATCGGCTTCATTGACGGCCATGAGACCAACACGTATTTGAGAAGGATCTATATTAGACCCGGAGAAACTTCTAATCACCTAGATAAAAACCAAACACAGAAGTGTATCTCACTCAGCACCATGATGATCATGGCCAACACAAAAAGTTTGTTTGTAATGGGAAAGAAAAGGCTGGACCCAATTATGATGTTGAATTTATTACTAGCTCTGGGTGGTTTAAACAATTCAAGAATCATTATTACATAATGGCAAAGTGAGTAGTGAGTCTGCAAGTGTTGATGTGAAGGCAGCTGAAGAATTTTTGAAAACTATAAATAAGGTGGTTGTGGAGGAGAATTACTTGCCAGAGTAAATATTCAATATGGATGAAAACTTTTTACTCTGGAAACAGATGCCTGAAAGGATTTTTTATCCATAAGAAGGCCAAGTCAAGGCCAGGTTTCAAAGTTTTTAAGGACAGGTTAACAGTCTTGCTTGGGGAAACGCTGCAAGCTACACACTGAAACCCTCTGTGATCCGGCACAGTGAGAACCCCAGGACCTTTAAGAATATCAGTAATCACACACTGCCAGTGCACTACAGGAGCAATAAGAAGTCATGGATGACCCAGCTCCTCTTCCAGGATGCCCTCCTGAATTGTTATATCAGCAAAACAGAGACGTACTATTTGGAGAATAACATAATTTTCAAGGTTTTGTTATTATTGATAATGCTCTGGGATATCATCATTTTGTTGGTGATCTTCATCCCAATATCGAAGTTGTGCTTCTCCCTCTAAGCACCACCTCTTTAATTCAACCAATGAATCAGGGAGAGATAGCAGCTCTTTAGGCTTATGACCTGAGGAGGGCCTTTGCTCAGACTAGGGCCGCAACTGAGAAGACACTGATACAATTCCAGAAGGATTACAACATCTATACCTGCATCAGAAGCCTTTCTTTGGTTTGGAGAAATATCATCAAGGAGTACGTGAATAGTATCTGGAAGAAGACACTCAAGAGGTGTGTCTTTATCTTCAAAGGATTTGCCAAGGATGAGGAAGCTGAAAAAGTCAGCAAGACTGGCTGAGATGGCAAACGACTTCACCCTGGGTGCAGATGTGCAGGACATGGAGGAGCTCCTACAGGTGGCTCCTGAGGAACTGACCAATGAGGAATTGTTGGAACAGGAACAGGAACATATAGCAGAAGAAGAGACAAGAGGAAAGAAGACTGCAAGAGAAGGAAAAGAACCCCCAAGAAAATTCACAGTGAAGGGTTTAGCAGGAGCTTCTGAAGACTTCAACAAACTCCTTAAAAAGTTGCAAAACATGGAACCTGACATGGAAAGGTTTTTGTCAATAGAGAAGCATGTTCACTTTGCATTTTCCACTTACAAGCAAATGTATGATGAGAAAAACAAACATGCAAACCGCCATGGACATATGTCTGAAAAGAGAGACTTTTTCTCAAAAGAAGCCTCAGGCAGGCCCTTCAGCTGGTGTTCCAAAGAATGCATGGCTATCATAGACGGGGACAGCTTGTGTGTGCTCTTGTCCCTGAAGACCTCAGGTGAGATAAGACATGGAAGTGGAAAACAGTAATACTGATTATCTGACCCTGAGTAGGCCTAGGCTTCTGTGTTAGTTTTTAACAACAACAAAAAAATTAATAAAATTTTTAAAAATAGCAAGAAGCTTTTAGAATAAAGATATAAAAACGGAAATACTTTTTACAGCTGTAAACTGTGTTTGTGTTTTAAGGTAAATGTTATTTCAAAAGAATTGAAAGTTAAAAAATGTAGCCCTGGCCGGTTTGACTCAGCGGTTAGAGCGTCGGCCTGCGGTCCTGAGAGACCCAGGTTCGGTTCCTGCTAAGGGCGCATACCTTGGTTGCAGTTTGTCCCCAGCCCTGGTCGGTCGTGCGGATGGCAACCACTCGATGTGTCCCTTCACATCGATGTTTCTCTCCCTCTCTGTTCCTCTCTCTCCCTCTCAGTCTACCTGAATAAAAAATGGAAGAATGTCCTCAGGTGAGGATAAAAAATAAAAATAAAAAATGTAAAGGTGTATAAATTTTAAAAAGTCATAGTAAGCTAAAACATTAGTGTATAATTATTGAAGAAAAAATATTTTATAAATTTAATGTAGCCTAAGTGTACAGTGTTTATAAAGCCCACAGTAGTGAACAGTGATGTTCTAGGCCTTCATGGTCACACACCACATACTCACTGACACCCACAGCAACTTTTACTTATGCAGCAAGGTCCATTCATAGTAAGTGCCCTTTACAGGTGGAACATGTTTTATCTTTTATCTCATACGTGTCTTTACTATACCTTTTCTATGTTTAGATACACAAATACCATTGTGTTACAATTGCCTACTGTATTCATGACAGTAACATGCTGTACATGTTTGTACAGAAGATGATGCAAGAGGAAAGAAAACTTCAAGAGAAGAAAAGGAGCCCCCCAAAGAAACTTCACAGGGAAGGGTTTAGGTTTTTGGCTATACTGTCTAGATTTGTGTAAGAGCACTCTATGATGTTCACACAACAAAATTGCCTAATAATGCATTTGTCAGAAAATATCCCTGTCATTAAGTATCTCATGACTTTGTATATAAATATATATATATATATATATATATATATATATATATATGCACATCTCTCTGTATATATATTTAAGAAACAATGTTTATATTTTAAAATATAGTGAGTTATCCCTTGGTGGTTATTTTGAAGATGCTCATCATTTGAATAAATTAGAACCCTCCAAATCCCCACAGATATGAGAGATTAGTGCACTTTTTTTTTTTTTACATAATATTCAAAGTCATATGGGAAAAGAATGAGCCTCTACCTCCAATCCACAACCACTCTCTATCTACCTGAAAAGTAACAATGTGCCCCAGTCATTTACTTCTGCCCAAGTTGTATCAAGCATTCATTCATTCCAGTCAACAAATACTCATTGAATGATGTCTTCTTTGTTCCAGGGACCATTCAGTGAATAAAACCCACAGAATTCTCTGACCTTGTGGACCCTACATCCTACTGGAGGAGAAAAGGTATAACCCAGGCTTTCCAAATTAGCATGTATTCATTCAATCAATCATTCATTCACCAAGGAAATGGCAGACTTTGGAGCTGCAGTGGGACTCTCCAGTTGGAGAGACAGATAATAGACAAGTAAAAATAGATATAATCAGATAAAAGAGGGCCCTCCCTTACTCTGTAAATAGTATGATCTCAGAGCTTTTCTATCATTAACTTCATGTGTCAATGAGTTTGTTTGTAGCTTTCCACATGTTATAAGAAAAGTGATACAAAGTTAGGTAGCTTATGACACCTTATTTTGTCCATGAAGAGAGTTTTTAGTTCAAAATGAAATACTGTGTATAATCAGAATTGTGTAGCTGCAATAAAATTAGTTGATTGGTCACTCTGAAGGGAAAGAGCTGGCTGGGCCAGAAGGAGGAGAGGGAGACAAGGAGAAGCAGCTACGTTCACTCCTAGAGTCTAAAGTGACAGTATTCCTGGGGAGCCAGGAGGGCTGCTGGAAGAGCAAATGGACCTCAGCAGAGAAGCTAGAGGTGTCACAGGATGCCTGGGGAGTGAGGACGACTTAGGCAGGAGATAGAGAGGGTGAGCAACTGCATCTGGAGAACTGCAATTAAGAGGTCCCGGTCCACGGGCATAGGGGACGCTGAAGGGCTTGTCAATTGTCAAGACTGTAGCACTTGATATAGACAGAGCTGCACTGAAACTTTCAAGTCAAGACTGGCCTGTGACAGTTTCCCCCTGACTCCATCCTCTCTAAAGGGATGAAGAACAGAAGGAGAGGAGACAGGAGGCATTGCTCTTCTTGGTGAGGAAAGAGAGAAGGTGTTAGTATCCCTTTTCCTGAGTGAGGGTGCTGGTCTCCCATCTGTGGGAGGCCCAGACTCAGGGGATGAGTGTGTGTGTGTGTGTGTGTGTGTGTGTGTGTTTCAAGGTTAAACTACATTCAAACTATTGACTAGTACAAGGTAATAAACATTTAAATTACTGACTTAAGGACCTTGACTTATTTTTTAAATGGTATCTTTTTTTTTTTTTTTCATCCATTCTCCTGGATGTGCATCTGCTCCTATCACACAATGGGTTGTTTGACTTAATTACCAATACATAGTGGCAGTCAGATTATCTCAGCACACAAGTTTCTGCTGGAAAGAAAGTAACACAGCGTTGCATTTAGCTAAATGATACCCCTGTGGCCGGAAATGGTAAATGCGCCTTCTGAACACCCAGCTTCCACCCTGGCAGCATCTGGTTGATGATGTTGTGTGTACATACGGTTAGAAACAAAATTGCTGTACATCGATTTAGTGTGCTATCATGATCGATACTGATCATTTCAACAAACTGATCATACAGTAAATGGTACTGATCTTCAAGGTGACCAGTGAAAGATTCTACGAGACAGGGTTTCCATCATTTCTTGTATGTATAGACATAGCAGAAAAATCACTTTTATTAAGCTGAGAAAAGCCCTGATGCATTTTCAGATCACAGACATTATCCATGAATATTTTCATAAATATCTTGATGTTAGATTAATATGTTATTTATATAAACTAAAGGAGTAGTGTGAAACTATAACAAATAATATCTCTTTGACAGAGCTCTTGTCACTGACACATTTATGTAGTCACCCCTTCAGCTCTCACACAGACATTGGTAAAAGGTGAGAGTATCACTTGGAGAGAACTGCTGGGGAAGTTCACTCCGACTCCTGCACCCGCTGGAGAAGAGCTACATGACTTTGAGCTGACCTTGGAATTTATGATCTGGCACAAATAGTCATTAAACTGGGAACAGCTTGTGCAATGTCTTGATAGCAAACAGTACCCAGAAATGTGTTGGCAGTGGAAAGAATTTAAAATATCCAATTTAGTTTTAATTCTGAGTGGAGAAAGGCCTCTGATTTTGATAAGTAGTCACAAAGTTAAATGCCAGGTCTAAAGGAGAAACATACTGTTTGTGATCTTCTAAGTGTACTTAAAACAGAGACGAGAAACAGGTTGATTGTTCTGATTTAGCTGTGAACAGCTGGTAGGCATAAAGGTAGGCAGTAACTTTAATCAGGTCTCTGTAAATTTATAAATTGGTCCCTTTTTTCTTAGCTCTGTGGAGCAAAGGGAAGTAAACTTATGCTTATCTGATATATGAATGGGATGCCACACCCTCTTAATGGCAGTATATCTGAGCCCGAAGGCAATTTACACCCTCATTATACAAAGAATCATAAAATTTAAATTGGACCCAAGGTATCACATGTTAATCTTTATCCCCCAAGTTCCCTGAAAATGCAGAGGCTATTATACAGTTTAGTATTTGGCTAGCATGGATTTATTCCACAGTATTTCATAATATATATGAAAATTTGTTTCATAAATGATAAATATTACACACAATAATGAAGCTTTAAGATTATTTACATAATATGAATAATATTGAACTATTAAAATGTAACTGGATTATTGTCCACAAGTGAAAAGAAGCTGCCAGCTGGACTTGCTTTACCCACAGATAGTATTGGGTCACTATTTACATAACAACTAGATACCAACAGGTGTACCCAGCTCAAGAGCAGGCCCTCTGTGATGTGACCTTGAATGTATATTAAAATGAATCAGTCAGGGTCCATCTTTCTACTGGACATTTCTTTGGAAATGGGGAGGGAATCACCCAAGCGGAAGCCCAAAGACAGAGTCGTGAATTCATAGGGAGTAGGGAGCAACTCAATGGGCTAAATCAAAGGAAAATCTATGAATTCATGCCATTGAGATCTCTAGAACCATTTTAAATCTAGAAATTCCTTCTATTTCCAACTTCATTGTGGCTGAGACCTATCCTTTGATTTTCCAAAAATATTTCTAAAAATTCTTGGAGGAATTACTTAGCGACAAAGATGTATCATAAAGATTAAGGCAGAAGGTGAAGGAAAATACTTCATTTGCCATTTTCTCCTAGGTAGTGCCTAGGACTCTTTTTTAGATAGCTCCCAGGTAATTCTGATGTCTAGCATCAGCCAAGGATCCGAATATTGTCAACTCTCTCATTTTGCAGAGGAGAAGACTCAGTCATGGGTCTTCAAATGTCAAGCCCCAACTATAGTGGAAAAATCTGAATAGCACTAGCATCTCCTTGTTTGGAGATGTTTTCCAACCACCAATTTGTTTTTCTTACAGATATTTGGGATCCGTGTTAGCAGAGTCAATGTAATTAATTCTTCAAGGACCAGTGATTATGCTGTTGGTAGATTTTTCTATTCTACTGTTTTACCCTTTATCAAAGCTGAAAATAAAATTTTAAAAAGCCAGGAAATATACACTCTCAAACAAATGCTATAAATAAATGTACTTTTCAGTAATGCTGTTTTATAATACTAGGAAAGCATAGAAAAGGATCCAGAGACTTCGAATATGCCACAGAACATTGAATTGTATGTTAAATTTATAAAGAAATCCCAGATCTTAAAACATTTTCAAAAAGAGAGTATTACCAAATGAATATATTATTCTGCAATAATATCAAAACAAAGTTAAGATGTGAAGTTACTTTAAAGCCATAGCAAAATATTTATGATGGGAATATTCTCTAAATAAGCATCTTTTTATTTTCACTTTCAAAATATATCTATAAATATTTGTAAGCAAAGTCCATTTCTCATTTTTAAAATGGTTTGCACCACAATTGTTCTGCGTATATACTAAATCTATTCTTCAATTCTTTTGATGTGTATTTTCTTTATAATAGGTTCCCCTCCGCTTTCTCGCTAGGTTTAAATGATTCGGAATATGTAGGTTGGCCCTTGCCTTTCTAATCACCTAGTCAGGGGCTTGGTGAAGCATAGAAAAGAAGGCAAGTTTAAATATAATAATAAAAGTTTAAGATTGAAAAATGAAATAACAAGTGTATCTGTTGCTGTAGCCATCAAATAATTTTTGCATATTCTTTTGAAAGAGTTGCAAGTAAATGGAGACAAAAATACGCACAATGAGATAAAAATGTATCTAACATGAGCATTAGCTTTTGCTGGGAAAAGAGAATGATTACTCCTGCTCCTTCATATTTTCCACAGAATGTGTACTCAAACATACTCTCCTGAAAGGGTGGGACATTGAAGAGTTACTTCAAGCATTCTCTCTTCTACTTACTTCTTCCTCTTGAGAATAAAGGGGTGATCCCTCTGATTAGTTAGCACTTGATACTCACTGGGCAATGCTTTCTTATACTGGGTAGGTCATTCTATCAAAGGAAATGAAGATGGAGGTCTCTTTTGTTCTTAATGGTATAAGTTTTATGCTAGTTTTCACTTGCAAGTAGCAAGTGTGTGTGTGTGTGTGTGTGTAGGTATGTGCTCAAGTGTCTATAACTTACATACTAGGACAGGAACGTCACCAATTTTAAAGCAGCACAAACTCAGTCCTAGGCAATCTTCTAAATGTGTTAAAACATAAAGTAATTTAGCCCTGGCAGGCTTGGCTCAGTGGTTAGAGCATCGGCCTGTTGACCGAAGAGTCTGGGTTCTCTTCCTGTCAAGGGCACGTACCTTGGTTGTGGTTCAGTCCCCAGCCCTGGTCGGGTCTTGTGGTGGCAACCAATCACTGGGTCTTCTGGGGGCAACCAATGGCTATGTTTTTCTCAAATCCATGTTTCTCTCCCCTCCCCCCATCTAAAGATAAATGGAAAAGTATCCTCGGGTGAGGATTAAACAATAAATAAATAAAATGTAAAAAGTAATTAAAAATAAATTTAATCCTCACAACAAACTGATGAGGTATATACTAATATTATTCCTATAGTACAGATGAAGAAATTGAGTCAAAGTGATTTGTCCAAGGTTTGAAAGTCAGAGTGTTGCAACACCCAGGCAGTTGGAACTTCTAATGAAGGTGTATCAGGAGCTCAGTGAAAACTCTTCCCCTGAGAACAGATGTTAAACTGGTCAAAATTAGTAAAAACAACCACTCATTGTTTCTAGAAATTAATCCAAAGACTTACAACAAATAGGAGGCATTTATTCA